TTGTAGAGATGAGGTCTCGCCTGCCCAGGTGGGTCTCAAACCCGCGGGCTCAGGCAATCCACTCACCTCAGCCTCCCAAAGGCACGAGATTACAGGCTGAGCCACCAAGCCCGGCTGGTTTTCTTATTCTTAATCACTCTGAGATACTGAATTTCTAAAGGAAAAAGAGTAACAATGTATCATGAGTTAATAAGACATGTAAAAGTAAAATGAAGGACAGGCTGGACTTGGTGGCTCAGCCTGTAATCCCAGCACTTTAGGAGGCTGAGGTGAATGGATTGCCTGAGCCTACGGGTTCGAGACCAGCCCGGACAACTTGGCGAGACCTCATTTCTACAATAAATAAAAAATTAGCGGTAGTGTGTGCCTGTAGGAAGGCTGAGGCAGAAGGATTACTGGAGCCTAGCAGGTTGACACTGGGGTGGCCATGAGTGTTCTACTGCACTCCAGACTGGGTGATGGAGTGAGACTCCAACTCAAAAAAAAAGGACAACATAAAAGATGGTCAGGGGAAGCAAGGAGTTTACTGTCTGTTGTAAGTTTCCCACACTATAGGTGAAGTGATATTATTTAAGGGTTGACTGTGATTAATTAAATATGTCTATTATAAACAACCATTACACATTTTGGGGAAGAGGGAGATCTTACTCTGTTGTCCAAGCTGTAGTGCAGTGGCGCGATCATGGTAGCTCACCACAGCCTTGACCTCCTGAGCTCAGGTGATTCTTCTGCCTCAGCCTCCTGAGTAGCTGGGACTACAGGCACATTACCATCACACCCGGCTAATTTTTTTAAAAAGTTTTTAGTAGATATGAGTTCTCGCTATGTTGCCCAGGTTGGTCTCAAATTCCTGGGCTCAGGCAATCTTCTTGCCTCAGCCTCCCAACATACTGGGGTTACAGGCATGAGACACTATGCCCAGGCCCCTTACACATTTTTTAAAGAGGCATAACCACGAAGATCAGTATTGCCACGAAGTAGGGCAGGGGTTGGCCCACAGTCCAAATCCAGCTCACCTCCTGTGTTGGTAAATAAAGGATTATTGGAGCATAGTCATTCCCATGTTTACTTCTTGTCTGTGTCTGTTTTTGCACTCCAGTCGACACTGTGGAGTAATTGTTGAGTAGTCTCTGCGGAGACTAGCATAGGGTCCACAAAGTCTAAGATGCTTACTATCTGGTATCTTGAAGAAAAGTCTTGCTGAGCCCTGGGGTGGGAGGACAAGGTAGCAGCGAGGAGGCTGGTAGGGAGGCTGGTTACAGTAATCCAGGGGAGCAATGATGGGTACACAGATTAAAGTACTCATGGCAATTGGCTGGATTCAGGATATATTTTGGAGATAGAACCAATAGAATATGGATAAAACTGATAGTATTTAGAGATTCAGATTTGGTTCCTAGTAAAGAATTCCTTTCTAAAAAATAAAACAAACATCTACAAAAGATCAGTTGAAAAACTGACCCCCAAATCTACAAGATTATCAGTGTCTGACTGCTGGGGGAGTTAGGGGTACTGAAAACACAGGGTGGGCACTCAGCAGAATTTGAAAACTCAACATCTGGAGGAACAGACATCTACACATCTTTCAGACAAGGCTTAACATTCTAAACTGCATATTTGCAGCACGCTTGCATGATGTTACTCTGTCAATATCCAGCAAGTATCTGCACCAGGTACAAGGTTTGTGTCAACCCTGCTGTAATAAGAAAGAGAGCCAACATGGCAACTGGCCACGTGGGCTGGATGTACCATGGGTCAGATGCATGTGTTGAGCAGATGCCTGTAAACAAAGATGAAGCAGAGATGGACCTGGGTTATGAGTTAAATTTTCCCCCCAAAATTCATGTAGAAGTCCCAACTCCCAGTGCTTCAGAATGTGACCTTATTTGGAGACAGGTTCTGTACAGAGATAAGTTAAAAATGAAAAACGAAGTCAGTAGGGTGGGCCCTAATCTAATATGACTGTGTCTTTATAAAAAGGGGGGAGTTTGGACACAGAGACAAGGAGAGGCATGACGAGGTAAAGAGACAAGGGAGAAGATGGCCCATGGGCGCCAAGGAGAGGCCTGGAACAGCCTTCCTGCACAGGCCCGGAAGGGAACTTGCCCTGCAGACACCTTGAGCTCTAGCTTATGGTTCAGGACTGCGAGGTGGGAAGGTTCTGCTGTTGAAGCCGCCCAGCCTGTGGGACTTAGGGCAGCCACGGCAGACTCATACAACCTGTTAGCCCACAGATGGTGAAAAGGCACGGTGCTCAGTGGCGCCCCAGGCTTCCTGTCTCTGCCTCCCATGGTGCGGAGTGCAACCTTCTGGTGCGTGTTGAAATACAAGATGATTTGGGGTAGTGCCAGGTGAATAATCTCAATTTACATAATTATGTGCTGATCTTACTGTGTAAATTCTTCTCAGAATAGTTAAGGAACTTCAGATTTATATGCTATTAAAAATACAGGCTTAAATGCTAATTTAAAAAACGAATGCAAACGCTGTCTTGCTGTGGTACTGGCAATCTGGATCATTCTTTCAGAGAGACTTGCTGTCTTGAGGCGGATCTGCCCCCTCCACACCCTCACAACACACTTGCATGTACGTGCATGCACACACACATGCATACACGCATGCACATGCACACACTGTGCTTCATGCCCTCACTGGGAGGCACAAGGGAACCGTGTCTGTAAGAGAAATGAAGGCAGCGGAGGCCCCTAGTTCTCCCAGTGTTAGAACACTCGCCCTCCTGGCACCGCTCCAGCTGAGAAGTGGGGGAGCTCCGGACGTACTCAGCCGCTCAGGGCCCAGCCCCAGTTCACAAGCGTCCTCGGGGGCCTGGTGAGATGGTGGACACCACAGGTCCTTGCTGGAGTCTTGAACCCAGGAAGGTAATAGGCGGGACACCTTGGCTCATCGGAAGACACGACCAAAATCCAGTGAGGAAGGGCAGTCGTCAAAGGTTTTATTCTAAGGGGTTCTGTGACCAGCAGGCGCAGAGGCCTTCATGGCACGCGTGGCTAGGTGATGCCACGTACAGTTTGCACTGGGAAGCGAGATAGAGCGACCTGACCTCCCGCTCTGCCCCTCCGCCGCCCCCCCACTCTCCTCCCCGCTCCGGGCCCCTCTCTTTCCCCTCAACCCCTCTCCGCC